TTTCTAGTGACCTAGCGTGACCTAGTGCGGAAGCACTGCCGTTTGGCCAGCCCATGCTCCCGTACCGTTGCGTTTCTCCCCAATGCGCCATGCCACTTTGCCAGTCATACACACGTTTCGATGCGTGCCCTGTCAGCTGCTTGCGTTGCATGTCGCCTTGCTCCACCCCTGTTTTATTGCTTTCTCTGCTTTCGCCCGGTTCCCGTCCCGTTTCGGCGGGGAGTCTATGTTGCAAGCTAGTTCTTGCTTTACCAGACTTTAAGCCCACACAAGCAAGCAAGCAAGGCGGCCGCCTGCACGCCGGCGCCTGCCAGCCTGTGGTACTGCCAGCCTGTGGTACCGCCAGGTAGCATGACACCGACCCCCCCTCCCGCCCCCTGCCTGCCTGGCGCCCCCGCAGCGCTGCGCGAGCTGGCGCTGGACGGCATCGCCGTCTGCGGCACCGTGCACAGCACCTCGCCCGACACCTTTGCGCTGTTTGACCGCATGCTGGTACTGCAGAAGGGGCGGGTGGTGTACTTTGGGGACAACGGTGGGTGTGCATCATAGCACCCTCCCTGCCCTCCCTCCCATGAGGAACGGCATCCATCCGCCGGCATGCCTGAACCTGGGCTGCTCGGGCACAGCCAGCCGCGCGGGCAGTGTGACCGGCTGCTGCAGCGCCGCATCCCGTCGTGCGTCCTGCAGGCGACCCCGCCACCGCCTTCTTTGCGGCCCACTTCCCCCACCTGCGCGCCCGGCGGCCCTCGGAAGGCATCTCCGACTTTGTGATCGACGTGACCACCGCCGCCAGCAAGCAGGGCGGCGATGCGGCCGCCGCCTTTGCCGACGCGTACGCCGGCTCCCAGCTGCGGCGGCGCAACGAGGAGGAGATGCGGGCGCTGCTGGCGGCGGCTCCGCAGCCTGCCGACGGCGGCGCCGACCACCACCGCCTGCAGCGCCTGCTGCACCTGGGCGGCGGCCTGGGGCAGGGCACGGTGACGCCCTGGTGGTGGGGGCTGCTGGTCCTGGCGAGGTACCGCGGAGGCGAGCTGCGGCTGCCGCTGGCGTTGATGGTTTGGCCGGCTGCCTGCACTGTGTGTGTGTGTGTGTGTGTGTAATGGTGGTTTGGCAGGCTGCCTGCGGCGTGGCGTACCCGGGCACACGTGCTGCTGAGCCCGCTGAGCCTTCCCAGCTCCCCGCCATCGACTGCCGCCTGCCTGTGCCGCCGCCGCCGCCCGCAGCGCGCGCCTACACCCAGCCCGCCTGGCTGCTGCCGCGCGCGCTCAGTCCCGCCATCCCCGTGTTCCTGCTGGCCACCGTGTACTGGTCCATTGGCGACGAGCTGGACGCGGAGCACGCCACCAGCATCGCAGGCAGGCGGGCGGCAGCGAGGGCGCGGCTAGCATCGCAGCACCCCGCTCTCGCCGCCCATCTGTGCCAGCCTGCCCGCCTGCCTGCCTGCCAGCCTGCCAGCCTGCCTCTGCCAGCCCGCCAGCCCGCCTGCCCGCCCGCCTCTGCCTGCCTGCCTCTGCCTGCAGCCGTGCTGTTCATGGTGTCCACGTCGTGCGCGTACGGCTCCATGGGCGTGCTGCCCACGCTGGTGGCTGAGCGGGCGGTGTTCCTGCGGGAGGTGTCGGACGGCCTGTACCTTCCCATCACCTACCTGGTACACCAACCAGCTGCTTAAGCTTGGTGCAGGCAGGGTGCAAGGGCGCATGGGCAGCCCGCTGCCAGCAGTGTAAACCCGCCCGCCCTGCAGCTGCGTGTCCAAGGTGAAGCTTTAAGGTAAAGGTGTCCCGCAGATGTACCGCAGATGTACAAGGTCGCGGAGGAGCTGCTGGTGACCGTGGCCACCAGCTTCCCGTACTGCGCCCTCACCTTCTACCTCGTCGCCCTGCAAGGCAGCGTCGCGCTCTTCTGGCTGACCTACCTCGTGACCTCCTCCGTCGGCGTAGGTGTGTGTGTGTGGGCTGCAACAATTTCTTCCTTCTTCTTCTTCCTTCGTTCGTTCTTTCTTCTTTCATTTTAGAGCTCTGCCAGCTCCAGAGCCGCCAGGCTCCCCGCCTCTGTGCGCAAGCGCAGTGCTGGCGCTGCTGGTCGGCGCCCTGTGCTCCTCCCTGGACGTGGCATCCATGGCGCTCCCCGTCTACACCACCTCGCTCCTCTGTGAGCCATGAACTGGCCTGCTTGTTTGCTTGCTTGCAAGCATGAACTGGCCTGCCTTGATGCCATGCAAGCCCTGAATCAGTCATGCCAGTCTCGCCGTCCCCCGGCGGGCGCTGATCAGCGCCAGCCCCCTCCCGCCCTGCACAGATTTCTCGGGCTTCCTCATCCCGTGGAGCAGCATCCCGTGAGCGGGCCGCTGGCTGCGCCGCCCCGCTGTTCCCTCCCTCACGCGCCTGCCCATGGGCCGCGCCGCGCCTGCCACCGCGTGCTTCCCCGTCCGCCATGCCGCAGGCCGTACTGGATCTGGTACGGCGCCATTTCGTACCTGCGATACTCCTGGGGCGCCCTCATGGTCAATCAGGTGACATGGCTTAAGCCTGGCTTGGCGGCACGACTGGGTTACTGTGTTACAGTCACCCCGCTATGATAGGCCGCGTGAGCAGACCTTGGGCAGGAGGCACACGTGATCAAGGGGCATCAAGAGAGGGGGTGGAAAGGAAGGGGCGGGGGGAAGGGGCCTGGCCCTGAGTGGGGCCGCCTGCCACCCACGCCATATGCGCAGTTTGAGGGCGGCCGCAACGTGGTGGCGTTTGGCGGGGAGCGGGTGCTGCACTACTTTGACCTCCAGCACGTGTCCAAGTGGGCGTGGCTGGGCTGGGAGTGCCTCTTCTTCCTGGCCTTCCTCGCCCTCACCCTGCTGGCGCTGACGCTGGTGCGCCACCAGCGGCGGTGAGCGAGGCCGGCGGGCAGCCACTGACCCCCTTGCCTGCCTGGCAGCCAGCCCAGGACGATTGTAAGCACACCCCAAGCCGCCACCCACCTGCCACCCACGACCCCGCCCGCCGCCACCCACCCGACTGCCGCCCTGCTGGCCTGCCTGCACGCAAAGCGCTGCTCATCTCCTGCGGGCCGCGCCTTCCCATCCACACACCTTGCTGAGCCACAGCTCCGCCTGCCTGGTTTGGACGTTGCAGCACTCCTAACAAAATCAGTGATGCCAATCAAAGTGCGGTACCGGCACCGGTGCGACACCGCGGGACACGCAGCGGAGCGCATGCACATGTGCGGATGGAAATATCAATGGCCGCTGGCCGATAGTCTAGGTGCATGGCATGGGTGGCGGGAGAGGGCGGGAGAGGTGAGCAGCAGAGCGGAGCAGGGCAGGGCAGGGCAGGGGGGCAACCGACCGAAAGAGGGATCACTGTGGATTCAAGAAAGAATTCTAGACAGAGGGGATGCTGAGCAATCAGGGTGGCTGGGGAGGGCTCAGTGCCGCCGCGCAAACTTCAGCTTCTTGGCGGCTTCCCGCTTGGCCAGCTTCTCCGCGGCCGCCCGCAGCTTCTCCTCCCGCTTGGCCTGCAGGGCGCGGGAGCGGCGGGGCAGGGATGCGGGTCGGCAGCAGCAAGCCAGGTGGGGGACGTGCGCGCCCGGTGCATGTGGTTGCCGCATTTGCGGGGCACAAAGCGCGCATTGGCACTCATTGTTGCCGCTACACGGAAACCACGCCGAGCGCTGCCCGCCCCGCCCCCCTATACCAACCTCACCTCTGCTGCCGAA